AACCGAATCGTACGGAAAGCACACGACGAGGACTCGAAGGTAAACGAGATTCAGTTCATCAACTCATTGGAGGCCCAGAACAAGAAGTACGACATTTTGAGCCGCGAGAAGGACCGGGAGATGCGGTTACAGGACCTCCAGGACGAGCGCCAGCGTCGGCACGAGGAGAAGCAGGCCAAGGAGGCGGCGGTCGAGGAGCGCCGGAAGGCCTTGGAGGAGGAGAGGCAGCAGAGGATACAGGAGCTGCAGCTGAGGCGCAGAGCGAAGGACCAGTGGATCGAACAGCAGTTCCAGGAGAAGGAGAAGGAGAGGCAGGAAATGGCGACGCAGAAGGTATGGCAGTCAGTGTCTGTGATGTCTGTCCCCCCGAGTTTGTGGTGTTTTTTCGGGTTATTGTTCACTGGTTTTGGGTTTTTGATTGATTTGTGGTTAAGTTTTTATGTTTTTTCTAAATGTATGGGTAATTGAGTTGTGGTTTTAGTGCTGTTTTATTAATACGGTTTTTTTNGAGCAGGCTACAAATAAAATTGCAATTCTCATATCTGGTATACCATATACCGCGTCAAAACGGGTGATATCATTGGACATTAGGTTCACAATGTGGCCGACCGTCGTTTTGGCCAGGGATGCCTGGCTCAGTCTAAGCGACTAATTACCAAAAAAAACATGTAAAATCACCATGATCATAATTACACGCAATTCCATACTTTTTTATATATGAGAGTAGAGGTGGAGGCGCGTAATCTCATACCCATTCGCATGACTAGCATGAGAGCCACGTGGTATAGCAATATGAACAAGGCCGTACTAAAACATAAGGCTCCGGCGGCTACGCACGCGTGTTTGTAGGTGCCATTTTTTACCTTGCTAAAATAGTCTATCACTATGCCTAGTAGCAGGGGCTGGCATATACGTACCACGCATTCCTAGTTTCCATAATAATTATTAATAAAACTATTCTTATTTATTGAGCAAGGTGGTTGTTGATTATTTAAATTTATAGGCTTACCCCCAATGTAAATATAGCCAGGGGCAGTGCATGGTATTTGCCAAATGCCATGATTAATGCCCTCCAGAATTTGGGTGACTTTTTTCGACGTTCATTATTCCAGTGCCTGTAATGTAGTCACCATTTAGTAGACCTCTAATCAGCCCTCCCTTTCATTCCGACTCTATATGTATGAGTGATTTACTGGACTCAATGAGCTCATACATACTTTTCTAGCTCCTGGACTATACGTTGCGACTCGTCGTGTCGGGAGCACCGGAACAGGTCGTCCACATCGAGACGATTCTTACGCCAACCCGTCATAAACACCGGGAATACCCATCTGTTTGTGAATAATTGTCACAAATGTTTGAAATAAACATTATTTCGGAAGTCTTATTGTAATATAAATAATCCAATCCCAATCCTCTCGTCACTATTTTATAGCCCCAACATTAGCCCCGGATTGTACAAATCATTTTTATTATATCTTAATCTACCATGGTAACTTTTTAAGTCTTTCAAAAAGTGGTTTTCCCATTGGAATTACATTAGATTTTGCACAGAAAGTACATAGTAATAATATTGGTGTTTGTAAACTCTATTAATTTCTAAACTAGCCATGATAAAATGAATCCTTTTAAAGAGAGTTTGTAGGATTTGATCTTGATTATTCCCCCAAAGATTATGTCTCTACACCACGTTTAAGACGATGAATAGTCATATTAACACTTACGTGAAAAATACTTTTTGAAAAATATTCGTATTATCCCACCGGGACTTGCGCTTTATTTTAGCACCCTCGTCCATTATTAATTTTAAATTTTGCAAATATGTTTATCTTGCGATTAAAATAAATTACTATTGAGACATTTAATTTTGGATATTTTTAAATATAATGAACTAATTCTAAATAAACTCAATTTACAACAGTTTTATTAATATATTTATTATTTATAATTGAATACCTTATGAAATGATATACTTTATACTGTGTAATTTAATACTTGTTAATACAATTTAAGAAAACATATGTTAATTGTAATATCAACAGGATAAGTAGATAAATAACTTACAATTCATTTGAGATCATTGAAATTTAAGTCACAATATCATCTATTCAAATCATTTATTTAAACCATTATAATCTATAATATAATAGTAACCTATCCCAGGCCAGAGTAATATAATATTAGTAATAATCAATTATTGTCATAATTTACGTAATTTATTAATAGTACACCGGAAACTTTTAAACTTTTAATTACCGTAATTATTTATTTAATAATTTATCTTAACATTAGATCTTAAATCACAAAAATATATAAAAATCATAAAAAAAAGTTTTTATTCGTATTTCTATACATTGACTAAAAATGAAACCAAAGATTAATTGTAATATAAAACACAAACAAGTGATTGAATATAATTATAAATACAAATTAAATACTTAACTACTGTTCCCCGCATACCCTCCCCATACAACTCATGATTAGTGATATTTTTCCAATTAAATTAAATTATATTATAAAAAAATCTTTAATTTATTGTTAAATTATTTATATTATAATAATTAGTACCAAAAGATTATATAAATATTAGATTTGTATTAATTATACAAAATACCATTAATTGTTTACTAATAAAATCTATACAAATGTAATGAAATCTAACTTTTTTTAATAATCAAAAGTGAAGTGACTTTGCGAGTGATATCTAACTCTAATTGCGTTCAAGTGTTAAGTATTTCTCAATAATAATAATAATTATCTCATGAATTAATTAATGTGTTATAAAAATAGTAATAAATTATAAATAGTTTTCAAATCTCTTCATACAAATGACTTGATATATGAGGCACCGGAAGGTTCGTAGCGGTCGTTCACAGCGCCTACACCACAGCCACCGGAGTCTGAGTCTCGAAATAATCCTTCGCTTCATTCCAGCGATTTTTGGGAAACCGTTTCGCAAACGTCAGGCGCTGTTCAGCTGTCATCCCAAACCAAAAACAGTTAAAACAATTACAAAACTCACAGAATATTCGCCACAAAACACATACCCAGGGCTTCGTCGGGCTTTTGCTGACCACTACTGACATGACTGTCCACTGCCCGCAACTGTAGGCCCACTATAGTTGACTCGATGAACGTGGAGAGCATGAGAGTCGACATCTCCTGCTCCAGAATCGTACGGTTCGGCGTGTTTTGAAAGCAACAGGCGATTAGTGTGGGGAACAGTACTCCACTCAACCGCTTATCGCTGAAGTACTCGAAGGGAAGGCAACACAACTGCTGCACGACTGTAGGCCTCTGTCCCGACTGGAGTAATGTCTGTGATGTGAGGGGAAAGGGATTACAAATGATTGATAGGGAATGGTATGCAAAATGAATGATATGGACTAAGAGCAGCAATTCGTGTTGCTTCAAAGGCTAGTTATTTTAGTGAAGTAAATTCTCAACAAGGGAAAATACCACGCTTGTTATGGTGTCATCCACACTCGTTTACACGGCCTCGACATCCGACAGACCCTCACCGCCCAAAATACTCTATAAATCCCATCAAAAATCAAACAAAAAATACAATAAAAATCATGTCTTAAGTATCAAAACATTTATTGAGTGGACAGTTAGCATCAGGAATATCCTCTAAACGCAAGCTAACTGTCCATTCAATGATATAAACTATAGGACACACACCTGAACGAAATTGAGATCCAGAAGCGACACATAATTCAAAAGTCGTATCACTTCTAACGTCAACTCCAGCGTATGGTCGGCCGCCACGCCACCCCGCAGTGGTAGCCTTGCATGGCCACGAGGGCTTACGTTCTCGTGTGGTATATAGTCTCTGTGCTGTGGTGTCTACACACAGTAGACCTTCCAGTCGTAGTCAACACAGAGCAGAAGTCGGTATTTAGAGCCGAATCTGTTCTCCACTTTCAGTGCCATTAGTTTGGAGACCGAACTGAACAGCGATATAATGCTTCGCCAGCACTGAGTCATCTCCGGACAGTCGTCTATCGGATCCCGAATACTGTTCCTCGTGTTGACCATCATTAGCGACAACTTGTCAATCATACCGACGCTCACGATATAGCTGTCAATTGGACACCAGAATGTCATTCAATGACAAAAACAGTTGAAAGCATTCATGGAATACCTGATCACGTCTTGAATCAAGTGATTAAACGCCAGACAGTCGTCAGTCGTGTCCACGAGTCTCGAGTAATGGGCGTAAAGTGTGTCGAAAATCGTCGACAAGAGCTGACATAAGGCGCCGACCACTGTATCGCAGGTCGTGGGACCGGTAGTACTGATTAGTGTCGCGTCCAACAGCTATAAACACCCAAAAAAATACATCAAAATATAGCCCAATAATCACTAAAAACTAATAACTCATACGTTAATCCGATGGCACAGTATGTCCAACAACTCCATCATGAGGTTGGACTGCAGGACATAGTCGCTGACATCCCAGTGCTGACTGCATACCAGTTCGTAAACGGCGGCCAACTTGGCGTTCGAGCGGTCCGTTAGGGACGTCGGCCTCTCTTTCGTGCCGTTCGTAATACGGGACAACATTTTGGTCAACAATTGGGTGCCGTTTAATGAGTGGAAATACAGCGAATCCGTGACGCCTTTCCCGCGAAAAAGTTTTTCCAATTCATTCAGATTCCGCTCCAAACTGTGGGTCATATTCGAGGGCCAGTGGCCCGTGATTTGGGTGTCGGCGCTCAGTGTCGACAAGTCCTACACATTAATAAAACATTTTTAAAAATCAATTTAAAACTCACTTTAAATACACTAAACAAACCGTAAAATCATTAGAAAAAGTTCGTAAAACTCAACAAACAGTGAAAAATCAAATCCAAAAACCGATACAAACCTTAAAAATCTTCGAAATCTTATTCTTATTCACGGATTGAATGCTTTTGGACGACAGCGCCGGTTGTGAACCCTTTTGGCCGACATTTTGCTCGAATTGAACCGCTTTTGCGGCCAATCGTTGCCTCAATTTCTTACTCCTCTTACGCGCGGCTTTCAGTCTCTCGTTATCGCAGCTCTGAATGGACTTCTTGTCCGCGTCTACCGGCGCCTCCACTATGTATTTCACGTTAAAGTTCTCCAACTCCTCATTTGAAAACTATTTATAATTTATTACTATTTTTATAACACATTAATTAATTCATGAGATAATTATTATTATTATTGAGAAATACTTAACACTTGAACGCAATTAGAGTTAGATATCACTCGCAAAGTCACTTCACTTTTGATTATTAAAAAAAGTTAGATTTCATTACATTTGTATAGATTTTATTAGTAAACAATTAATGGTATTTTGTATAATTAATACAAATCTAATATTTATATAATCTTTTGGTACTAATTATTATAATATAAATAATTTAACAATAAATTAAAGATTTTTTTATAATATAATTTAATTTAATTGGAAAAATATCACTAATCATGAGTTGTATGGGGAGGGTATGCGGGGAACAGTAGTTAAGTATTTAATTTGTATTTATAATTATATTCAATCACTTGTTTGTGTTTTATATTACAATTAATCTTTGGTTTCATTTTTAGTCAATGTATAGAAATACGAATAAAAACTTTTTTTTATGATTTTTATATATTTTTGTGATTTAAGATCTAATGTTAAGATAAATTATTAAATAAATAATTACGGTAATTAAAAGTTTAAAAGTTTCCGGTGTACTATTAATAAATTACGTAAATTATGACAATAATTGATTATTACTAATATTATATTACTCTGGCCTGGGATAGGTTACTATTATATTATAGATTATAATGGTTTAAATAAATGATTTGAATAGATGATATTGTGACTTAAATTTCAATGATCTCAAATGAATTGTAAGTTATTTATCTACTTATCCTGTTGATATTACAATTAACATATGTTTTCTTAAATTGTATTAACAAGTATTAAATTACACAGTATAAAGTATATCATTTCATAAGGTATTCAATTATAAATAATAAATATATTAATAAAACTGTTGTAAATTGAGTTTATTTAGAATTAGTTCATTATATTTAAAAATATCCAAAATTAAATGTCTCAATAGTAATTTATTTTAATCGCAAGATAAACATATTTGCAAAATTTAAAATTAATAATGGACGAGGGTGCTAAAATAAAGCGCAAGTCCCGGTGGGATAATACGAATATTTTTCAAAAAGTATTTTTCACGTAAGTGTTAATATGACTATTCATCGTCTTAAACGTGGTGTAGAGACATAATCTTTGGGGGAATAATCAAGATCAAATCCTACAAACTCTCTTTAAAAGGATTCATTTTATCATGGCTAGTTTAGAAATTAATAGAGTTTACAAACACCAATATTATTACTATGTACTTTCTGTGCAAAATCTAATGTAATTCCAATGGGAAAACCACTTTTTGAAAGACTTAAAAAGTTACCATGGTAGATTAAGATATAATAAAAATGATTTGTACAATCCGGGGCTAATGTTGGGGCTATAAAATAGTGACGAGAGGATTGGGATTGGATTATTTATATTACAATAAGACTTCCGAAATAATGTTTATTTCAAACATTTGTGACAATTATTCACAAACAGATGGGTATTCCCGGTGTTTATGACGGGTTGGCGTAAGAATCGTCTCGATGTGGACGACCTGTTCCGGTGCTCCCGACACGACGAGTCGCAACGTATAGTCCAGGAGCTAGAAAAGTATGTATGAGCTCATTGAGTCCAGTAAATCACTCATACATATAGAGTCGGAATGAAAGGGAGGGCTGATTAGAGGTCTACTAAATGGTGACTACATTACAGGCACTGGAATAATGAACGTCGAAAAAAGTCACCCAAATTCTGGAGGGCATTAATCATGGCATTTGGCAAATACCATGCACTGCCCCTGGCTATATTTACATTGGGGGTAAGCCTATAAATTTAAATAATCAACAACCACCTTGCTCAATAAATAAGAATAGTTTTATTAATAATTATTATGGAAACTAGGAATGCGTGGTACGTATATGCCAGCCCCTGCTACTAGGCATAGTGATAGACTATTTTAGCAAGGTAAAAAATGGCACCTACAAACACGCGTGCGTAGCCGCCGGAGCCTTATGTTTTAGTACGGCCTTGTTCATATTGCTATACCACGTGGCTCTCATGCTAGTCATGCGAATGGGTATGAGATTACGCGCCTCCACCTCTACTCTCATATATAAAAAAGTATGGAATTGCGTGTAATTATGATCATGGTGATTTTACATGTTTTTTTTGGTAATTAGTCGCTTAGACTGAGCCAGGCATCCCTGGCCAAAACGACGGTCGGCCACATTGTGAACCTAATGTCCAATGATATCACCCGTTTTGACGCGGTATATGGTATACCAGATATGAGAATTGCAATTTTATTTGTAGCCTGCTCCATTAATTGACATGAATATAAAAATGAATCATTTCTATACAATTAACGTGTGAAACATTGCATTTAGATATTCATATGGAATCCTATATTATATATAGATTTGTGTGAAAGGCTACTATAAAATTGAAATTCTCATATATGGGCTATATTTGTGGCGCTAGTAATGAACGGGATTTATGAATGATTTGTGATTTTTGAATACAGTTTTCAATCGATATCTTCTACTTAGTCGTGGCGCCCATACAGACAGCGATAGCCGTGTATATCATGTATACGGAGATCGGCTACCATTGCTTCGTAGGTGTGGCCCTATTGCTGCTGTTTGTGCCGTTTCAGGCATTTATGGCCAACCTTTTCTCGAAAGTCAGGTAAGATTGTCAATATATTTGACACGCCCTACACCACCCTGGTCAGTATGCTTGAAGCAGTCATTAGTTTTTGTGTTGAAATAATAGGCTAATGACCGCTCAGTTAACGGACAGTCGACTGCGGCTCATGAATGAGATTATATCGGGGATGCGAGTCATCAAAATGTACGCCTGGGAGCTGTCCTTTGCCAACCTGGTGGCCACCGCTAGAAAGTATGTCCCTGGTGCTAGTATTGTATTATAGTCATACTTAATGTCATTTTAAAACTTTTATGAAAAACTTATAATAGTTTCCCATAAAACTCGATACACTTTGCAGTAGAGAGTAGAAAGTTGACAATCCTTGATGAATATAACAATTACTGATGAATAACCAAGGTTATTTACTAAATGCAGGAACGAGGTGAATCGCGTACGAATGGCCTGTTTTCTTAGGGTAATCAATTTGTCGGTATATTTGGTGGCCTCCCGTATAGTAGTGTTCGCGTGTTTTATCGCATATGTGTTAACCGGGAACCTATTGACCGCCAGAGCTGTGTTTGTCACAATGACCTTGTTTAATACCCTCCGTATGACAATGACCTTGCAATTCCCACAGGCCGTGGCACAGGGCGCTGAGCTACTGGTTTCCTGCGGCCGCATACAAGTAATTGATAGTTATTTTTATATACATATTAGACAACAATGGTATAGTTAGTAGATTAATACACGCAACACGGTTATGTGATCAGAGATAAATAATTAATCAATAAACTTTAAAACTATTTATACAAATAGACTTTCCTGGAGTTGGAGGAAATGGATTTGAATGCAATTAATGTAGATTTGGATACAAATGGCAAACAATGGCCGCAATTGTCGTTCAATAATATTAGCGCCAAATGGAGTGAAGTATGAAATGAATGAATAGTTTGTTTAAAAAAATATTTTAATACTTTTCATACCATATGACAGGACAGTCCGTATCCAACCCTTCAGAATATATCATTACATCTAAGACCTGAAGATTTGTTAACAGTTATTGGACCGGTAGGCGCTGGAAAGGTATGTATGATTTAGTAATAATAGAAAACATTTATATTAATAAAAATTATATTCTCATAAAGAGCTCACTTTTAATGGCAATATTAAATGAGTTACCGGTGCTCGAGGGAAGTATACAAACTGTGGGTACCATTAGCTATGCCTCTCAGGAGTCCTGGAGTTTCAATAATAGCGTCAGAAATAACATACTGTTTGGCAGTGAATACGATGAGCACCGGTATAGACGGGTAGTCCATGTCTGTGCGCTGGAAAGGGATCTCCAAATATTTCCCTTCAGAGACAAAACATTAGTCGGAGAAAAAGGGGTCTCACTATCGGGTGGACAGAAAGCTAGGATCACTTTGGCCCGGTATGGCATTCACGGCACCGGTAGTCTATACGACAGTCCTATTGACTAAAACAATACATTCTTTGTAGAGCTTTGTATCGCAACTCAGATATCGTACTAATGGACGACCCGTTGAGTGCTGTCGACCCCTCTGTTGCCGAACATATATTCCATAAGTAATGCCATTAATAGTCATATGAGACACACCTACCAGTCCTACCAGTCCTTTAACCTGCCTTTCCATCAGATGTATAGTGGAGTACTTGTCGGACAAAATCCGAGTTGTAGTCACCCATCAAATCCAATTCATACGAAAAGCCACTCAAATACTGGTCTTAAGCCCAGAGGGTCGGTGCCTGGGGTTGGGCTCATACAACGAGCTCCAGTCCCAGGGAATCGACTTCATGGCTATAGTGAACGATGGGGAACGGGAGGAGGAAAACGATAAACAGGAACGGAAGCCCATAATGAGGTCATTCTCCAAGAATAGTTATGACGACAAACAGACGGCTAACCCCACGGAGACCCTCCCAACGGAGTCCATCGACTACAGGGCCAGGAGGTACTCCCGGAACACATCCGTGGCTCAGACTGAGATCGTCGAGGTCTCCAACACTATGGGCGATGAGGAAGACTACTCGCATGAACCCAGGATTCAGGCGGAGAACCGGGAGGTGGGCTCTATCGGGGGACACGTCTACTATGAGTATGTGAAGGCCGGTGCCGGACCCATACTGTTCACGATTACCGTGATCTCGACACTGGTATCTCAGGGTATAATACATTACTCCGATTTATGGCTAACTAAATGGTAAGGGAGTTTAAGCATGTACACTATATTGATTTATTTCCTATATAGAATTGTACATGTACATGTAAATTATTGTTTATATTCAGGACCGACAAAAATCAAAAGGCTGATGCAATTGACCAGGGTACGCAAAACTATTACGTGTACGTCTACTCGGGCCTAATTGGAGTGCTGTTTGTGACGGGGATAATGCGGTCGACCACGTGGTTCGTGATGTGTATGCGGGCGTCCGTTAATCTACACAACAGTATATTCGCGCGTCTATTACGGGCACCGATAGCCGTCTTTGACAACATTCCCATCGGTAATCATGTCATATGTATTATATTCGCCAAACATTACATAAATACCCCGTTTGTAAGCATAACAATAATTTATAGTCCGTTTGTAAAGTTTGTGAAATTAAATCAAAATCATTAACATTGTAATTTTGTTACAGTAGTAAATTAATAAGTATGGTACAACTGGCTCCTACAAACTTAATATTTACTCTTTAACATTTAATGAATACACAATTTAATGAATTAAACTGCCCTGGATCACTATATGACACCTTATATATAATTATAGGTCAAATGCTGAACCGATTCTCGAAAGACATGGGAATTGTCGACGAAATGCTTCCCTTCACTGGTTTTGACGTGAATTATGTGAATAAATGAATTAAAATCACATTTTTTTATTCATATTAATAATCAATTTTACGAGTTTAGTGCAGAATTTGAATATATTTTGTTTGTCTCTCAATACAGTTGTTAATGGAAGCGATTGGTATTATAATAACGGTGGCCATTGTCAACATTTACCTAATCATCCCTGGTATTTTCTTAATTATACTTATGGTGATCGTGAGGGGCATATACATGAAATCGGCCAGGGATATCAAACGTTTCGAGGGGATAAGTATGTGCGCATAGAGTAGTGATTATAATGTAGTTATAATTGTTTTAATTGATTGTCATTTTATAGCGAGAAGTCCGTTGTATACTCACGTGAGCACAACCCTCAATGGGTTGGCCAGTGTGCGGGCCTATGGGGCACAGGAGGCCTTTGAGCGCCAGTACTATGTCTACCAAAATGACCACACGGCCACCTGGTTCCTATTTGTGTGCACATCCCGAGCCGTGAGTCTTATTATGGACGCGATATGTGTGGCATATTTAGTGGCCATAGCCGTCGTGATGATGGTATTCCCCGAACATATTGGGAACGGCGGTAGTGCCGGACTGGCCCTCTCGTCGGGTGCGCTATTCATATGCATATGAAATGAGTTTATTATTAAAACTTATGACAAATGCTTATATAATAAGTGTTTATATATTGTTAGCCCTAATGATGGCGACTATGACTCAGTGGGGGTTCAGACAGTCGGCTGAGTTTGAGAGTCAGATGACTTCAGTCGAGCGTATTATTGAATACAAGAGACTACCACAGGAGGCGCCGTTAGACTCGGATGACACATACCGACCCCCACCCGACTGGCCATCCAAGGGTCAGATAGAGCTGAGGAATATGTCTCTGGTATACGAGGGCTCAGCCAAACCGGTGTTGAAGAGCCTGTGCTGTCGTGTGAAGAGTGGCGAGAAGGTAGGTATAGTCGGACGTACCGGTGCCGGCAAGTCGTCCATCATATCAGCCCTGTTCCGGATGGTGGAGCCCAGGGGTGAGGTAGTGGTGGACGGCGTGGACACCAAATCGATAGGTTTGCATGACTTGAGGCGCAACATCTCAATCATACCTCAGGATCCGGTGGTCTTCACGGGTCCGGTGCGCAGAAATTTGGACCCTTTCGGGGAATACACGGATGACCTCATATGGAGTGCCTTAGAGGAGGTGCAGCTCCGACACGCCGTTCAGGACCTGCCCGGACAGCTGGACGGCCTACTGAGCGAAGGGGGCGGTAATCTGAGTGTAGGTCAGCGCCAATTGGTGTGTTTGG